AGGCACTCGAATGCAATAATAATAAAAAACAATTTATTCAGAAAAAAAAAAATATATTTCAAATAATATTTCTATTCAAAAGATCCCAAACAATAAATAAAAATTGATCAAATAATTGTATTCATTTTTTTTGTTATAAAGCCAATTATTTTAATATCCTTCAAAAATTGCCATATACCAAACTGATTTTTTTGAATTGAACCTATTTTATAGCAATTGCCATAAAGGAAGAGGCCAGTTTTAATTTACACAAGATTATGGATTTGATTTTTTAAAGAGTATTTCAGAAAAGAAAAATTCAAATACCTTTTCAAACTATTGCTTCTTTAAACCTTGCTTTTTTTCTAAAAGGTGCAGGTAATTTAACTATATATAATTGGTGCTAAATCACCTTTTATTAAATTATTGTATTTTTGCTCTTCTTGAAGTTAAGTTTGTCCCCCATAACCAAATATCAAATGTTGTATTGTTGCAACATGAGTTGCAACACTGTAATACCATAATTTTACATATGGGTGCCAACTCTATTTGAAGTAGAAAAGCCCTGATTATTGCTAATGCAATGCCACAATCATTTATATCACCAATTGAAATATAAAATTCATCATCTTGTTTGATTATCCCTTAAACAAACATTATATTTCTTCTAATGTGTGAAAATCTTCAAAGCAATTTTTATCATTTTTAATACATAGTGAAACTTTACATAAACTGCAATAAAACACAGATTTTGTTTTAATTGTTGAAGATCCTCCTTCCATTTTTTTTTTATATCTGCACCATACACAAGATCTATTGTCACCAAATCTGGGAATATGCGCACCAGGTTCTAATCTTTCTCCAAATCTTCAAGGTAAATTTGATTTTTATAACAACTTCTTTTCTGATCTTAGCAATAACAACTCTTCCAAATCTAAGCAGCTTATTACAATCTTCATTAATTTTTTCTAATAGATCATCTTCACTAAAAGTTTTAGTGGATGTTTCAGAAAATAAAATTTCAAGACACAAACCAAGCATCCCTACAAACAAACAATGATCTGATTTGCATCCTCTCGATTTATCTTTGCCTTTTGTTTTGTTGAACAATTTCTGCATTGTTTTTCTGTATTTGGATGCAGGTTGTATCATCTCGCCTCTAAATAATGATATAACAATTATTCAATGATCAATGTATTAAATTAAACAACAATAATAAGTCTGCTTGCCATTTCTGAATAGTTTCTGGTATTCCATTCGTTAATGCTAAGAATAATGGTGATAATAACTTTAATTCTTTGGTTCCTTCATTTTGTCTTGTGTTGTCATCCTTTATACCATGCCATAAATCTCTACTATAAGAAACAATCATAATGCAGATAAGCAAATATCAATACTTTTAGAATATATCATTTAGTATTAAAAAATATTTACATTATTTCACTAATCTCAACAGCAAATTCAAAGAATTCAGCATCACATTTTAAATCATTTGATGCATATAAATTTGTGTCATTACAATTAACTTTAATTTTGTAAAATAAATTATTTAATGTTCTTTCTTCATTTTCTTTGATTGTTAAATCAATAAACCATAATGATGCTGTTATTTCCCACCATTCAATATCATCAAATGCGGTAACAATTTCATTTGGTGGTGATTTTATATTGCAAGCATGCAAATTCAATTACAGCTAGTGATGTGTCTGATAAAAAAATATAAGATAAAATAAATAAATAAAAAAGTCCATATATAAATCTCCCTATCTTTGCACACAGCTAAGGGTTCTCGATTTCCAGGCCTCTGTCTTCACACACAGCTAGGAGCCTACTCAAAACTCTCTCTTGCGCAATTCTCTTTGCTTTGATGGATCTGGATATTTACATGGCACTACAATTCATCAGCAGAGTTGTGACTTGGTCACAGAGCCATCCTTACCTAGAGGTGATTGTTGCAGGTGACTTTTCGACCAGCATGCCAGCAGCCATTTTTGGTCTGGGAAGATTAGTGAAAG